AGTAGTGAATGGTGATGGTGCATACCTCTAATCTCCAGGCTGGTTCGTTTTTGAGATATTTACAAAAAAGTCGTGTATAAGAACTTATGCGACAACCTAATATATGCTCATGATGATGATGATGATGATCGAGAAGTAGGCAGTTGCTGGGACGAGTAAATTTTCGTATTAATCGGCCTGAGATAAACCATAAATGTGTATTTAGCTATGCCTCGTAAAGCGGGTATGGAACGCAAAGATCTCCTAGCAGCCAATGTAAAAATTTTCAAATCTCAAGGCAAGGCGTTGGCCGAGTATGCCAAGCCGACTACCAAGGTGAATGGCTGAGGATGTCGCGAGGTAATTATTACGATAACATTTCCAAGCATTTGCAGGTTCTCGTTGTGGGAAACCCGGCTAACACGAATGCCTACATCTGTGCCAAATATGCGGCTCCAAGGATTCCTGCTCGCAACTTTTCCGCAATGACTCGACTCGACCACAATCGCGCCACTGCTCAGGTTAGACAACAGAAGGAATACTTTTTACAATCTCGCTACAGAAACATTCAATCTTGTTCGCTGCGGGTGCTGCGGTGTGTCAAGGGAATCTGGCACGGCGCCAGCAGATTTCACAATCCTTGTCGCCTTCCCTCTCTTCAACAATCGGAGGAGAACAGACTGCCGCCACGCCGTTGTCGCTTCCTCGGTGGAGTAGTACTTTTGCTTTGTCGAGAAATATAGCTAGAGAGTCTTGTCACATGGCCACTACATCGATGCTCTTACAGCTCCCCACTAGAAGAATTAGCGAACAGTACATGGCAAGTTTAAGCGCCTTAGATCATGATCGAAGCTAGGTGTGCCGACACCTGCAGCGCTCCTGCAGAAGATTCTCTACTCAAATTAGTGTGATATTCTAATTATGGAGCAAGTGTGCATTTGAAAGTCTGAAATTTTGATTCAATACAAAAAGGCTGTCTATGATGAGTAGCAGCCCTAACAGTGAGGATAGTCTATCGTCAATCATTGGTCTTGGGATGGGATTTTCTTCTGGATATCGGTAAAATGGTAGAGATTATGT